AAAAGGATAAAGCATTTGCCGTTGATCAATCCCTTTTTGGGATGCGGCACGCATTCTACTTCCATTTGTACATTCGTAGTGGCGTTTGAATGCGATGTGGCCTATACAATGACTTGCGGGGGCCAGCCGATGTACAAGTCAGTGTTTTTATCCTCCCAGACAAGTCTGGTACCAATTAACCGACCCCGGAGGGATGGAAGGCTTGGTTGGCCCGGGCGACTCACGACCCAGGATTTGATCCCCGGACCGCTCGCGTGGTAAGCGTGCCACTTGCCACTACACCACTTCCGCCCCACCATAGACTAAAATTTCCACTCCGAGCAAATTTTTTCAATCCCTATGTGGATTTGGGGGGGGAGCGCTTAGCGAAAATATACCCTAATTTCAGAGTTCATTGGACATCCCCGACAGCAAAACACCGTTCTGCGAAACTGTTTCACACCTTCAAAGACCTGACAGGTAAGACCTAATTCTTATAAGCCATACGTCAATTACTGTCATGTGATCTATGGGAATAACACTAAAGCAGATTTGTAGAAGTTACGAATGTTAAATTTATGGAAAAAATAAAAACCAACTCATAGAACATTTCGCGACGACATCATCTCGCTCTTTCCCGGTTTTCAACGGCTTTTTCTGAAAAAATCGAGAATTACATAATTATCAAAATTGGCCCTATAAATAGTACAATAAAGCATTTCTGGGAATAATGACATAATCTCGACAAATTCAAACCTTGGAGAAGAAACAAAGAAGGCGCGTGATATAGGCCAATATCGTAAACGGAGGTGGAAGTAATGGTGTGTCATTGTATTCCATCACCTATAATTCCAAAATTTCTGCCGTATTCTTCTATCTGTCCTGTCTGTAATCACGTACCTGCCCGTAGCGCTGAAACAGCCATACTTCGTGTGAGCGGAATGTTGGTATCGTTGAAAATATTGCTGAAATACGCACACTCCTTTTATGCAAACGAGCAATGAATGTAGTTGAAGGACGAATTTCACGCTGGAAAGGCAACCCAGTTCAATTACTAGATGGTGAGTGGTACACGAAAGAAGGAAGAACCATGAGAAACGGCCCAGAACCCGAGAAATGGACCCCTTCCTTGCCCGTTGATTCGAGCATTGATGCGACTCTCATCGCTGTGCCCTCTTCAACACTACGCTCTCTCAGCTATCTAATCACTCGCCACGTATAGACTGCGGCGAGTGATCAGATGATCGGTGGGCGTGCACTGGCCCACCGCGCCAAGATTGAGCCTTAATAGGTCGCCGAGGTCAACTCCTTCGGTGCCAATTGCGCTTCAGTCCGCACCCTTAGGAGGTCCGCGGGTCCCTCAACTAGGTGAATTACTCCTCTTTACTTCGTTCGGGGAGTCGATATTCTAACCTGGAATATTCCTCGCTTCGATCGAACGTAAGAAACAGCGGTCGGCTAGCCATAACCCGTCATTGGGCAGGCAACGAGACCCGACAAGGCTGTGCCGATATCTTTGGCCACTCCGTATTTTTTACAAAAATCTTGCTATGCAATCTTTATGAATATCCAGCTCACTTTGGATACAGGCTTGCTCTCACTTGACGCATGCTGGCCGATCTGAGCGCACCCGGGTAAACGGGGCGCCAATCTATCCCTTCTAATAGGTAAGTTCGAAAAAACCTACTTGAAAATAGCAATGAGCATATTGATCAGCAGAATATTTGCCACCAACAGGAAGATTGTCATCAACACAGGCGGGATCCATCCACCAGGTACACAGTTTGTCCCTAAAATCACATATGGTTCTCGTGCATAACGTATCCCCTCATCCACATGGGTACAACCACAAGACACATGCGATCAAAACAGCATTGAAAAAATCACAAAATCACAGTGCTATCACCTTCGGACGTCCCACCCTTTCTGAACGCTTTCCATGCTAAATTGTAAAGGAAAATGGCAAAAAATAAAGCGACATATCATAGTTGGAAAATCGATATATCAGTTTCGTAGCGAACTAAAGGACAACTTTTCGAAAGTGAAATGACTTGCCTTCATCTCCACACGTATCGATTTCTCCGGCGTATACTTCACCGTATAACATGAAATATGGCTTGGTAAAAGATATTCCTGAAAAAAACATTCAAAAAAATTGACGTTCATTTCGTGCTGAAATTACAGAATGTAGATAAGGCGGCAGTGAGGGTCTTGACTTTCGTACTTCCAAGTTGTATTGCTTTAGAGTTCTGCGTACCCTGTACATTTAAAGCAGATGATATCGGTGGGGAAGCCGATAATGGAGGCCGAGTTGACTGCAATGAAAAAGTAAGCGAAGCAAACCGCCAATAAAGCCCTTAAACAAGGTCTCCTCTCTTTCATCCTTTGAAATGAGGGATACACGACAGTAGGCCCGTCGATCGGCAAGAAGCAGAGTCAGCGGACGAGTCGCAGCGCATAGTGTAGTGATTTCGCATTTTGTATAGAATGAAACCATTGCACGTCCTACATCGCATATCACGCGCTGCGAACGCCATTGCAGCTAACACCGCTTCTGGTGCCGCGCGGTCGGGTATCCTGGAATGAATATGGGCGATTCGGACGAGTTGTCCGCATATGCTTCCTCCATGGCTCCACCCCCAGCATTCAATTAAACGCTACGTCCTAATTACGCCGCGCATCATCGCCGGTGTGCACGCAGTTAGATCGTCCTCGACATCAGCATTCAGCTCACTATGTAAGTCCCAAGCGCCATTGTTGCGACCCTCTTCAGAGCGCAAACAATGGAACAGTCGTGAGATCGGCAAGTTACTGTGTCCCATCCACAGATTAGCTTGTTCGACACGACTTCATCTGGGGTTGTCTCTTCGGATTATCTAACTTGTGACCCCTTTTGCCTCGGTAAAAGGTGGCTCAAAAACCCAAGTCCCATCTTCCACAATGGAACAAAGGCGAAGACAGATACGAAGACAGACAATTTTCCACAACTGGAATTCAGAAATTGGGCAATTACCCACTAAGGGGTGAAGTTGCAATTTAAAATAGGAAAAATCAACGACTGGTTCAACGAAGTGAGGCTATCTCTCCGAAACTCATTTGATGTGGGAAGAATTAAGGGACGGCTTACCTGACAAAGAAGCCAGTTCCACTTTCGTGTGGGTAAGTGATCGCTTGTCGAGAAACTCCGAATGCCATTAATGTCACCAGAAGGAGAACGATGATGTAGCACATTGATATGACCATTTTGGCTGCCATTTGGATGTACGGACCAAGCAGTGGATGAACCGAAAGGTATTCAAGCACCTGAAACCAACTTTTAGCTGGGTTACTACAAAGAGAATTGCGAAGTGAAGTAGGCTGGACCTAAAGAATAAAAATTAGGTAGCGTTTGAGATCTTCTCGATATTACACAAGAAATAAAAAATCGGTAATCGTAAGAAATTCACCACGGAATGCAAGACAAAAAACCGATTGTGGGGTCCATAGTGACAAATCAATAAATAACAACAAAGCGAGAGCTTACCTTCATGTACCACAACACATTACTGCATGACAGTATGACACGACCATAGGAGTGTCTCATCGAAGGTTGCATACGAAATCCAAACCCGACCAGAAATAGCAGCAAAGCTGTGGCAGTCAAGAGGTTATAATATCTGAACAATTAAACGTAATGGGCAAAAAATCAATTACATTCAGTTCCTTCAAAATTTTCGACATTATTTTAGCTAGGTTGTGATAAACATAAGCATATTCAACCCGCTTCGCATATATTCTGAAGGCGATGTTCGATTTATCTAGAATATGCTAATTGGAGGCACAGCAGTTGCTATAACGTTTATAAGAAACAAATTAAAATAAAATGGAAATGAAATTCACTTTGTGTAGAATACACGGCACTTCTCCCTGAGTTTAGGCGTTTCCTGATCGAAGAGCTGAAACAGGATAGTAAAAGATCTACCATATATGGCAAAGAGATACTGGACACCAGGACGACAGAAACGCGAGAGAGCATGGGGTGAGGAGAGGCGCAGATACCCGCACAAAAGAAACCATCGCCGTAGAATTTGGGTTCACTTCGTCCCTATAGGAAGCATCCAGTCATCCTTGTACTGTACTGTCGAGCGGCGAGAGCTCAACTTGTCTGTAAGACATTTATGGGCATCACTTTTACACGATTTATGGAAGACGGAGTTGATCTAGACTTATCACGGAGTGATCAATCGAAAAAGTGTGTTTGCAAAAAACCCGTTCGTGAGCATAAGGTCAAAGCAATCCACGTTTATGAATCCCTGTCGGGATGCCCCTCAAAACATAAGTTCATTCAAAATCGTAGCGGGTAATTTCCTGAATTTGGATTGGGCCTATAAAATGACTTGCGGATGCTAGCCGATTACAAGACAGTGTTTTTACCCTCCCAGACAAGTGTGATACCAATCAGTTAAGCCAGCAGGGACGAGTTGCATTGTTGGACTGGATGGCGTACGATTCAATTTTTGGCCCCCCTAGACCAATCTCGCGGCAAAGCAGCGCTATTTGCCGCTTGACCACTCCTTCGAGAGTGACAACAGAGAAGGAGCACACTTACCTTACGAATATGTTCTACAGTATAGACGACAATATAAGCCAATGTGGCGTACTCGATGTTGGTGGGATTCACAGGAGTTTCAATAAGAAGCACATAAGACGATAACATGAGGAATATAACAAATGCTATACACCACGACCAAAATTTGGTGATCGGGGCCGAATAGAAGGCGCGCATCTTTCGCCATTGCCTGACAGCGATTGCGACTAAATGTGAAAAATAATTCTTTTCGATAGGTAAGAAAGTGGAACACACCTTTTCCTGGGCTGGGTCTAACCAGTTTATTGCAGACATAGCTACATACGTGGCATTTACGGGGGGGGGGGCGAGAGCCAAAAGAAGTTTGTGCCCATGGTCGCACTTACGACCCTTTTCTTAGCAGAACTTGCCGTCAGTTCGACGTAAGTCACCACAGCAGGATATTCCTTCCCCTCTAATATTATATTAATATATATCTAGACGTCCTTCACTGCCCTTACGGTTCTGTTCAGTCGCGTGTCAAGCCAAAGGAGGCACCGTCACTGCTTCATTCACTGAAGGCTCTCACAAATTCAATGACGATTCATTGTTGGGTGCTCCCTAAAGACATAGCCACCACTGTGCAAATCCCCTCGGAAACTAGCTTTCCAGTAAGGGTCGTTATGGTACACGATCCTTCGAAGACCCCATTGAGCTCGACCAGTGCACCATGTTTCCAGGGCTAATTCTTCTGATGCCGTCCACGTAGGTGGCCACTATGAAGATTTTCTTATAGAATGGAATGCTCTTCAATAATAAGTTGGACCATTCGGTTTGAAATGAGCAGGCCACGAAGATGGATCCATCTCAATAAGGAAACAAAATGTTTTTTTTGCCCTCCCTATACAGGGGTGGCCAAAAAAAAAGAGACACTTGACTCCACATTTCAGACAGCATTAATCACACTTTGCTAGAATCAAATCGACTGCCCCCAACTCATATTGAAGAGCACCTTCTAATCTATCTAAACCTTACATGACAGCCTTCTACACCGACGACATCAGAAGATTTTCCCACGGAAATATAGTTCGCGATACGAGCTCAACGGGGTCGTCGAGGTACCATAGACCATTACGACGTCCCTGAAACGATGGTCAAAAGTGGTTTTGCATAGTCACAGCTAATGTCTCGAGGAAGCTATTTAAACCGTCAATCCATTGAAGAAATTCGTGAAGCAGCTTCAGGCCGGAGCGATTACGGTAAGCCTCGTTGAGCTCGACGGTGGCGGTAGATGACGTCATATTCTGGAGACGGCGGGGACAGTGAAGGAGGGGCTGCTTCTGCTTACGGGGGAACACCTATGGAGTATTACGCCGTAGAACTTTCACTAACATCGGCACTCTGTGCGACGAAAAGTTCGATGAAGTGCGCCATGGGCAAAGTGTCTCTTTTTTTTGGCCACCCCTGTATATCTCAAAAGCATATAAAATCACACGTGATATCGAATTTTTGGAGCAATTAAATTACTCTCGTAAAATATCTGCAAATCAAGACATGAACCGTTCACAGGAATCAGATCTAATGAAAAGCAAACCGATCGGTTCCCAAATTCTCGCCGATTGGCAGCGTGTGAAGCCCACTACTCCGCTTCGAGGACATGATTGTCACCTTCTTCGGGGCTCCATTCTCGACCAACTCTTCCAACTCGTCTGCAGAACGCACGTTTTTTTTTCTTGTATGGCAGGCAGTTTGCAATAACTGGAATAGAGAGGAACTTCGACTGCCACATCAGAAATCTTATCCTACAAATCCTTCGTACTGCGTTTATACTCAGCAAATTTGCAGCGCGCCAGTCAAGTCAGCGTAACAAAACATCCACATCGCTTGAAAGATGGTTTATGAGAAGTAGGCGAAGGTCGGCAAATGCGGTCGTAAGCACCTGCGGCAGCGCCATTCAGGACGACAGGGTGCAGCGAAACATCAAGTACGTTTCTCCAATACGACACCCGTCCCCTTCCTCTCCCTGGCACGAAAACTGCTATGCATAAACCCTTCTCTTCGCAGAGATAGCAAATGAGTGCTGTTTTAGCGGCGTAAAATGACCCTGGGGGCCATATTCCGGTGCAGTTTTCAGAACCATAGACATCTTCGGATAAGTCTAGCTATTTTCAACGCGAAGAAAAGAATGCTGTTCCTCACTGATCCCGACACTTATCGTTAGCTCGTCAAGGATCTTCAACGCACCTTGGCGTGGTAGACGGATGCTGGCAGTCATTATGTGTCTACTTTACAACAGGCAACACCGCTCGCAAGGGGGGGGGGGTGGTTGTGTGAGTGGAGTCTACGTGTAGTTTAGAATGTGGATTTCTGTGTTGCAGGCGTGTGTGCCAATATAGTCTTTTGCATGTTGACGGTCTGTGTGCAGGCGTCCTTCCGCTCCTTTGGGCGGAGTCTGGGGAAGCGAAGCTTATTGGTGGGTCACGAGTGGTTTTTTGGGTACACGTGTGCTTTTAGTATTATTAAACGAGCAGTAATCGCCGAGTGTAAACGCCAAGCTTACCAATTTCGTGCAGTTTGTTTCAGGAAGGCGGCCTTACCCTGCAGATTGAGTGACTATCATGCTGCCAGCCTGTTCCCTCCGAGAGGCTGTCTACACGTGTCTTATCGTGTCATTAAGTTGGTGCTCTGAAATGAAAATCACTGACACACGCATACCAAACGTCATAAAGATAGGCATCGTCACCTCATCAGAGTGGTGATCCTGATCCCTGGCTGGAACATGTGGTGCCTTATATGCGAGCGCCAACGCGGCCGGTGGGACAGACCAGTGCTGCAAGCACCCGAAGATTCGTCCCACTGGAACAACGTTTTCCACCGTCCTAGTATGATCATGTCTGGGCCGTACCCATCCACATTATTGATCAGACCACTACATACATTCAACCTTATCGTATGATCGCGACTAAGGCCGGTCGCAGTGCAGGGGGCGGGCGGAAGTAAGCAAACCCAGCCCGTGTTGGAGTTCCCTAGGAGCCGTATGCTGAATGTTGGGGAGGGAACAGCCGGTCCACTGACGGTCAGAGGACCGCTTTAAAGGCACAACCCAGGCAGAGGTTTTTTGTGAACTCTTCTCTTCGGTCAGAAGTATAGAACCCTAGGGGACAATCACAAATGTGGCGTTCACGTGCACGGAATTCGACCGACAAGAACGCTTTGGGCTTGCAAAGTAAGCTGCTCGAGCTGCAGCGAACGAGCTCTCTTATCAGGCCGTTGTCTGGTGCTCTCTCATCTGATGCGCTCTCTCGCCCCATACTCTCCTCTTCGCGCTTAGTCTCTCGTTCCTTTAGCACAGCCAATTAGGAAGGTGAGTGAGCCCTCAACCTGAGCGTTTTCGACGGATTCTTTTCCTTTTTTCTTCACTGCCGGCCCACTTGGCACCGATACATTCACATTCGTGTGCAAGAGCCACACCAGTGCGATCCTGGGGCATGCCTTTAACTCGTCCTTGAAACCGCCTCAATTTGATGCTTACCTCAGGACTAAGCCTTAAAGAGAGGACGGACCTGCGAGAGAGCGCAGGTCCGTCCTCTCTCCAAGGCTTAGTCCTGGGGTAAGCAAACCAGCCCTTTTGGCGGAGCTGCTGGACCTAGCTGCACTTCGTCATCACTCTCCTACCGTACCGACCGAGTTCAAGTAGTCCGTCGACCTCGGGGACCCCATCCCCTCCCCAACATTCAGCATACGGCCCAGCAGAAACGCCAAAAGGGCTGGTTTGCTCACCTCGGTCAGGCGGCAATCATGGCTGTTTATATCATCTCCTAGGGCATTGTCAGAGGAGACAAGGTCGGGCATGAACGAATCCCGCAAATCCTACTTTTTGAGGGACGCTCCACGAGAACAAAATTTGATTGTGGAACTTGAAAATGAGACAGTAGAAGTTGCTATCGCAAGATACAGAGCATGCTTTACTTCTCTAGCCTAGGAGGAAGCACGAGCTTCGCGGGAGAAGGAAATTGCTCACACACCCTGGAATATCTCTCCCCCGCTTAGGGCTCGATCCGTTTATAACGAAGAAGAGATGCTCACACGTTTCAAATGTATTAGTACCACAATGCCCCCGTATCTTGCGATAGGGTCCAGTATATCAAAGATGCCCCAACAAGGTATCTGAACAAGGCCGCATTTGTAGTCATTTCAGGAGCCTAAGGCAACGGATATGGTGGCAGACTCTTACGACTTCTACGACAACTGAACGAGAGAGGATAGAGGCAAGAGAGACGAAGATAAGTGTGAGTCTGTTAAAGGAGGCAAAGGCGACAGCTTTCAAAAATCAATATCATCCGTCCTTCAACGGCTGCCCTCTATAGCAGCTAAGGAGAGTCAAGAGGTAAGAAAAGGTAGGAGGGTGACGGACAACCAATCTCCTTCCGAAGATTCCTAATGGATGGAATGCTGGCAGAAGTTCCAGTATTCCTCAAGCTAGAGCTACAAAAAAGTGGTGTGAGCACAGCCTTTGGAAAGCTTACCTGCGCACACGAAGCGATCCATGCCAAAGCTCAGCGAGCAGCCGTTGACAACTGAACCACAAGTTATTACCTACGACCATCGTGCAACAAGTTTACGAGCATAATGACACAAGGTTCTCACCATGGATGAGCAAGAAATGGTTTATGATTAGCCATAACCGCCAACGAAAGACAGTTTTGATAACCCCAATGGGGCAGCTGGGCGGTTAACAACTTCAGGGTTTGACTGTTGTCCTCGCGATAGCAGAAATCCAATAGCTCTAAGGATTCCGAGCAGGATGACCTAAATTTCACAGTTTGAGTGTACTGGCAAACATGGAGTATCAAGACTAGAGCTCACTCGCAATATTCTCGAAGCTTCTGAGCAACTTCTACCTCCAGATAGTCCTCTTCTGCAATACGAGCAATGGCTTTATATAACCTGAACATGCAAAGTTGAGCCTTGGCTCGGATTCGCCGCGCCACGGGATATAAACTTCCCTTGACTCATCAAGCGTTACATCCCTCAGAGTCAGTTAACTGTAATGCTCTTATCTCGGTATCTGTCTCTTACAGTCAAAACGCGCCACAGCCAAGGGGAGATCACTATTTTGAAGGCTTGAGGTGTTGTTTTTTCTTTTTTCTTTACTATCAGTCCATCTCGCACCTCGGCGTTCATTTTCGAACGGAATGACCAAACCAGCTTGATCCTTGGCCCTTCGAGCAAGGGATTGCTTAATTTCAAAAGACGCTGTGAGGGATGACAGCGAGATGATGATATTAGAGGCATGTGATGTGATAAATTAGCCTCCAGCTGAGAATGAAAGTAGAACTGCTAACAGCTGCAGCAGTGAGTGAAAAAAAACTAAGGAAACGACCTGAGATTCCCCAAAATAATTTTTAGCTGCCCGTTGATTTCCGCTTTGGGCGAGGTAGTCTAATGACATCAACGCGAACTTTCTGCCTGCTCTGCCTTTCTGCTTGAATGGGTCAGAGTCAGACGGTGGGGGGGGGCAAGCAGGTCAGCAGGGCGGGCTGAAGGATGAAGACGTGTGGAGGGAGGAAAGAGAGCTTTCGCACGTTTCGGTTACGTCTACGTTACTATTCCTGCATTATGGCGCGTCAAAACTGTCGTCGGTGGCCGCGGTGCTGCAACCACCGATGGTCCAGCTATGACGTGCCATAGTGCGTCACACAGGACCCTATTTCGCAACATTTTTACGTAGCACTATACATTTCCATTCCTCCAACTAGAAGCGATATTATATTTTCTATTGGAATACAAAAGGGTTACCTGGCAGCAACAAGGCTTTTTGCCATTGCATCCTCTCCATGAAGCCACATACATTTAGCCATTTCAGGTCGTCTTGTGAGCACAGCCCATAGAATGAGATCATTGAACGGATAAGCGAAATCAGGAGGGGCATCTGAATTACCAACATGCTTTGAAGGTGGAGTTAACGACGAAAAGGCAGCTTTAGAAATAAAGGTAGGGATTGTCTGTGGTATAGGGAGGAAAATCATGAGAAACGGCTTGAAACCCGAGATATGGCCCCTTCTTTGCCCGTTTTCGCATCGATGCGACTCTCTTCAACACTGACGCTTTCTCTGCTAAACGGCTAGAGTCAAACGGCAAGGGTTACCCATCGGGGGAGTGCAGCGGCGCGAGCGCGCGGGTGCAGCTTTGCTAGGCCGCCGAGGGCATATTGCTCGGTGCTAAACCCCATCGTCCGCATCCTTATGGGGCCTGCCTGCCTGCCGACTAGCTATATCCCCTTCTCCGACTTCCACCTTATCCTGAGGTCCTCTTGCTAATGCTAACGCCAACCATGACTGCGTATTTATCGCTCAACCGTCATCGCATTGTAATGGATTCAACAATCTGCACTTTCCTGCCGTCTTCGATCGTGATGTTTTGAGCGACAATCGGATATGAGGTGCTGCTTAAGCGGATCGAAGAGACTGAAAAACCAATGTAATTATTATTCTACAGCTCCAATTCTTTCGTTCCGAGAGACGTACTTGTGCTTTTTTCCGGAACTTTTCATAGGTTGTTCTTGAAAACTCTCGAGGTGTAGTAGTGTTTATAGGCGTTCCCCATCAGTTTTTCTATAATCATTCCTATGTCCGGTAAAGTGAGGTAGGTAGTTGGTGAGGTATGTTCGACCAGAAATCCGTACACTGTGTGCTTGCACGCTCATCCTGTGAATTTGAATTAATTTATTCTGAATTCCAAGCAATAAGCCAAGAATATCGAAGAGGATACGGAAAAATATGCAGCTTTGAAAGGTCTGCTTTGTCTATATTTAAAGCGACTTTCACCAGTCTCCCCCAGGCACATTTGTTAGTGTATGTCATCGGCAATGTTTCATAAACACCTCATTCTACTGCAAGAAGCTAAACTATAAAGTTTGAGATTGAAAAATCGGCCATGGTCAGATTTTAAGCAAGATGCGATAAGAGGGCGTAAGTTGCTCGGCGAGAATTGTTGGGAAATGGTTTAGGCGGACCATGATGGAGTGAGGAGCAGGCCAATGAAGGTTGTCGTCCTATGTTAAGACATTTGAGACTCACTTTTTGCTGCGGAATATAATAAAACTGTCGAAGATAAAATAGAAGGGGGCGGGCATTACGCAAAGTCAAGATACCACCGAAGATCAGGTGAAAGTTAGCGGCAGTATTGCGGAATTAGCAACGCTGAAAGGATCTGCCGACAAGCTTAAAATAGCTCAACGCGTGAAGAGAAAGACGCTCTTATGAGATTTTGAGTTAGCCTAAAAGTAATCAAGTCGTCGCAAGTAAAAAAGCGGCGGAGCACCGGCCACAATTGAGAAAACACTACAATTCAATTCTGTTAGCGAACAGCTATCGTTATATCCTGGTCCTTACAAGATTATAGAGCTGCTCCAATGTCGCTATGGTGAGGAAGCTTTTCATTGACACTCCATTCTCCAACAGGCACTCAACAAAATCGACCTAGACATTAGATGACATTAGAACATAAGATCTCGTGTATATTTCTTACATTAGCATTTCTATTAATGTTGGTATGACATCTGTAATTCTACAGCAGAGCATTGATCGACGTTCTTAAAGAACAGTCGGCGCTGTCGGGCAGACGCCCACATTTACGTCATGTCACAATGCGAGGTTATCACACTGACGACGTAAAAAGCTCTGCAAGTTTCTCAGCCAGTGAGACTGCTTCCTTCGAGGGTTAGGAGGAGCACGATAAGGACAAAGGTCCAAGAAGGGGAGACTTACCTAATGGAGGGACAGGCGGACTCAGAGAGTGACGACCGACACGCAGTTTCGTAGATAAGTCCGGTGAATTAGCAATGCATTCTCCAATGGCGACAACTGCTGCGCACTTGATCGGCGCGGTACGCCCATTTCGCTGCCCTGACCCTCTAGCCGGCAGAGAGAGCCCAGTAGTTGAAGAATGGCAGTCACGGTAATGCAGAAATTTAACGGCGCAACGACATGCGATCTTCTCGGGTCTAGGCCGTTTTTCTTGGTACTTTTTCCTACATCACTGACACCTCTAACTTAATTTCAATGGGCTGGCTTTTCATCGAAAAATGCCTTTCATTCGCACTACACCCACCAGCAGGAATTTCTGTCAACTGGCTAGCTCTCCGCACATCTAGTTGGAAGATTTCCTCACCTCAAATTCTGGAAATATTTACTCACCCGATTCAAACGAAGTGCATCATTCATGGCCGAATGAAGGGCGTGGATTGGCCAATGACGTCCTCCAGAGAATAAGCAAGATCGAGCGACGTCAACGCGATTCCACGATACACTCGCTCAGTATAAATGAAATATATTAGGTCAACTCATTCAAACATGTCCCGACATCTAGAGAAATGCTGGGAGGGGTAAAAGAGTTAGAGCATTCTACTTGCTTTTGCTTTTGAGCTAGCACACCCAGCTACGGTATACCCTAATTTATAGTGCTGCAGGAGGAAACACTTAAACACATAAAAGAATTCATAGTGACCCAAATCGAGGTGGAATTTCCAGATGACTGGTGACACACGTGCAATTCGCAACTCGAATTCTGTGTGTGCTGGCTCAACTTACGCGTGATACAGTGTTCTCGAAGTGCTACGTTGAAGATATGGTGTGAGAGCTCAAAGAAGGGAGAACGGAAGCGAGTTGTGGTTGAGGACGCGTTCATATTGTCCACCTTCCCCAAGAAGAGCGGGTGGATGAAATGAGGTTTCAAATGGCGCATCACAGATGTTGAACCTTTGCGATGTTTGCCCACGAGACTTGCAGTCTAGCTGCACCTGTTACGCAAATTGTGCCCAAAAATTGGGGATGGTCCACAGAACATGTTTTTGGATATCCCATTTACTCCCAGATGCAGGAGTCCAGAATCGAATTGGTGTCTGTAGCAATGATTTTCTCTGCCGATAACGGCATTTAAGACTATCAAACTGGACCCTGCTCATAAACGAAATTTGTGTGTAATTGTACGCTGAGGCCCAAGTCAGAAGTGTCAACTTTGGATTAACGCGAATGAGGAACTGCCCGAATTGGATCACGAGAAGTCACGTGGGTTCACGTGGATGATTATTATGGCGATGGATTTCTGAGCTGTGCCTCTTAAATGGCTCTGTCGGGAAAAAACCTCCGGCGTTTCTCAAGTTTATGGCTTGTTTCTTAGCGAACAAATTGACAAAGGAATAGCAGTATAAAACTACAATAACGATATCATCACCTATGTCGATACCAGACCCTACATAGCTCATATTGCTCACGGGTATTTCGATCAAACGGATATTGTGGCCTCTTCTTATCAGCCGTATTTTCCCAACTGCAGCCATGCGACCTCAGCTGTTTTATCGAACTGAACGCCCTACTCGTTCGGAAGCGCTACGACAATTCGTTGATCATCTATACTGAAACATTAAAAGCATCTTGTCTATACATGTGAAATGAA